GCATGTGGTTGATGACTGCACCATCCCACATTAGAAATTGATGCGAACATACAGGGTCAGGTCGCATGTAACCTCTGGGCATTCCTCCCTGCTATTCATTGTAGGGTTTTTGGCACTTATCCAAAAAGCCTCAAGAAGTTTTCGCGCTGGTGTTTTGGACTCCTGTGCAAGGATATTGACTTTTACTTCAAGATCGTCTCCTCTATGCTTTTGTATCCTATGCGTGCCTAGTGGGGTGCTTCGTCTTAGTTTTCGTTTGCCATCTAGGTGTTCTTTTATACGGATACACAAAAGTCTGCCCGTTTCGCCAATATATTCGTCTCCGCAATTGTTACACGAGATCAGGTATATCGTACCTGAACTCATGCAATCACCGTCCCTGCCGTAAGGGCAAATTACGCAATTTATTGTTTCACACAGACGGTCATTCAGGCGGTTGCGAACTAATTGGCGACGTAGAGTAGTCGGTGGTATTTCAACTATCGCTACCGATTCCTCTAGACCTGCCCTTCTTAAGCATCGTTTAATAGCTGCGCTTACTTCATCACTTATAAAAGGTTACATAAACGGTATTTTCTTTTGACCAAGTGTTTCGCGTGGGCGTGCCGCTCTCCTTCTAAACCTATCTCGTGGGGTTACTATTTCGTAGCCATTGGAGATGGCTAGTTGCCGAGCCAAGTCGAGCGATTCTTCCTTTAGTTCCCTGGTAGTGCACACAGAGGTGGCTGTTCGAAACGTGTTTCTCACAATCGCCCTCTTTGTGTGTGAAGGGTGGGAAGAAAGGAAATGGACAAGGATGTTCTTGTTACTTGGCTTTCGATACCACTTTGTCATGTCAAGTAACCGCTACTTGATAGGTTTATTTGAACGTTCAAAAACGGAGCCAGTTTTTTCTCGGTTTCTTTCCGGTTAACTTTCGCTAGTGAACTTGATACACTCAGGCTGCTTGTTTAATAATTCAAAGCGTTTTTCCATCTCCTCCTGCGTAGAGAAGACGACAAAACAATCATCTACATATCTGCAGTAGAGTAGTGGCCGGAGATCGAGAGCAGGGGCTTCTATCTTAGACATAAACACAATAGCAAGGCCTGATGCCAGTTTCTGTCCCATTGCCAACCCCCTTATTTGCTCGGAATATTTCTCCATCTGAAAATCGAGCAGTTTAGGCACCTCTTCAAGAGAGCCATTAGCTACTGGACGGAGAAGCCATGCATATTTATTCTTCCTTCATGTTCAACAAGAAGTTCGAAGATGGCTTTTTAAAAACCCGCAGCCTTTGCCACGCTAACCCATTGATTGTTTAGCTTTCGGTATTGACTTTTATATTCCTTTTCAGAGGATGGGCGATAGAGAGTAGCATCACTAAGATGTTCCTCTGTTATCTCAACAACCAGCTGGCGAGGAATAACTACGATGCTGAACAAGAAAACGACGCATTCATATTCCAACGCCGAGGTTAATAGAAAGTCGATCCTGGGAAGAATTGCTTGGTTTATAAATCTAATCCTCAACCAGTTGCTTAAGCACTTACCAGCCCATCTCACGAACACCCAAATGTTCCTAGAACGTCTAAGTAACGCGTCTCCTAATAACGAGTACGTGATGGAGTCTTTCGACGTTACCGCCCTTTACACTAACGTGTCGAACAACTCCGCAATGCAAGCCATCTGCGAGCTTCTTGAGCAACAAGAAGGAGCAATTAACATGTATGGCTTTTCGATTCAGCAGCTTATTGTCCTTCTATAGGTCTGTTTAAACTGCTCGATCTTCAGATGTCCGGGAAATATTATGCGCAAATTAGAGGGCTGGAAATGGGACAGTTACTGGCACCAACCCCTGCCGTTGCCTTTATGTCTAAAGTGGAAGCACCAGTAATCGATCTCATCACTCCGCGATCACTCCACTGGGCGCGCATAGGGTGCAGGAACACAACGGAGAAGATTTCGAAGTAGGAGTCACTGTCCTCACGCACGAATCGAAAACATCAGCGCGTGAAACTCTTGAAGCGTTGTGGATCAATTCGAAGAATTCAAAGATGAACCGCAAGGAGAAGTGTCTTATCATCACGCGTGACCTGACGCCATCCCTCAAGCTAATCCAATAACTTGACATAGACACAGTTATCGCCCATGTATTACTCTGTGCGGCTGCTATCCATCAACTAACTTAAATACTTACAACAAATAGACGGTAGGTGTTTAAATGAAGCTGTTTCTTATGCGAATGCAAATTTATTGTTAAGTTTTATCTGCTGGGGTTATGAAACTGTTTGGCTGGGTAGATCGCATCTCAATTTGACCTTTCCAGGCTCTGAAGAAGGCGAAACCGCCGAAACGTCAGCTGTTGTATCCTAATAAATCCTATAATAACAACCTCGTGTCTGCTTATTGAAGAAAGACATCGAATTATCAATGAATGCCGAGGTTAACAGAAAGTCGGTCTTGGGAATTGCTAGGTGAAATATCTCAGCATCATTGTTGCTGTTCTACAACGGTTAACTAACAGAAGATTTCACAGTTCAATTATTTTAAATACCCACATGGTTTTGAAAAAACAGAAGGGTTGCAAGTAATTCTTCGTATTTTTGTTGAGCAAACGCGAGGTGTTTATTCTTTATTCACGAATAAGCCGACGTTTCGGCGGATTTCGCCTTCCTCAGAGCACATTATGCTTCCATGTGATTTCTGTGCGGTTGGTCTCTACGTGACATACTTAATGGAAACCTCATAGAAAGCGGTGAGTGTGCAAAGCTGTGTTCAAAGTGATTGAAATCTTGGTTTGGAGTTTCTTTGTTTGGTTATGAAAGCGTCTGGCTGAGTAGATTGCTATCAACTTGACCTTTCCAGGCTCTGAGGAAGGCGAAATCCGCCGAAACGTCAGCTTATTCGTGAATAAAGAATAAACACCGTGTTTGTTCAACAAAAATACGAAGAATTACTTGATCAATGCCAAGGTTAATAGAAAGTCGGTCGTGGGAGAAGGGTTGCAGTCAAAAGTGAGTGACTTCTCTCCTGTTCCGTGTGCTACAGCCTTTTAACTTTTAGTGTGTTCCTCAATAAATGTGCAGTTTTTGTTGCGTTTAGTAATGTAGAAGAATTCGATCTGCAATTAAATGATGAATTTAGCCCATAAAATGAAGAAGGACCTAAATTCCAAAAAAAGTAATACAACCGAAAAGTTAGATTTTTCCAGATGAATAAAAGAAGGATAAAAGTTTTAGAAGCACAAACGCATCTAATTATATGAACGGCAACCGTAGACCTGCTACTGACAGGACTCGGGGCTTGCTCATCCCAGCACACATTCGATCTCTTTCTCTTCCTTGCGGATGTCGTCCAGTGTCCTCTCGAGCACAGTGAGCTCTGAAAGTATCACTTCGAGAAAACCATAGTTGTCCTGGAGGATACTTCATCTTTTTAGGTTCCACCTCACTTTTCCTACGTCTATCTGACGTTAGCTGTTTTTCCTACGTGTTGGTTTTTTCCCATGTTCCGTTTTTTGTATATTCATTCCTTAGTCATCGTAATAGAGTAATTTTCAATGGTTTGAATTTCGAAACGCGGTTTGATGGTGAGCTTGTTTTGGAACACATTGTTGAAGCCTAATGCGATCCAAACGCAAAAACCCTGAGTTGAAGCGTCAGCTTCATAGGTTTAGGTAAACCCTGGTAGTTGGAATCAACGGTTCCGAGGACATGGCACTCAGCAACTATGGAGAAGACTTTCAATCACAGAAAGGATCTTCTATACCCATTTAGACGAATTACAATTCTATATTCATAGCAAGCAGTAGAGCTTCTTACATGTATAATGTAGATATTCACTGGTTGTATTATGATCATTCCTGATGCGAATAAAAGGTTTGATTTTCCGACCTTTACTCGTGCATTATGAAGCCAATAATCGAAGGGTCTGCGGCGCAAATAGCGACCAAATGCAAGCAAGCACACGAAGTCAACCTGTGATCATGTAGCCCTTCACTGAAAAGAGGAAATCAATCTCCAACGCCTCCACTCATAACCCGACGTTTCGGGTTTATTAGGAGGCTGTATCTAACAATTCTGCTGAACTAACCAGAAACTGAAAAATCTATTTCTGTTTCACCTGCAACTCCTCAAATATCAAACTACAACATCTTTATTTTACAAGTCTCTTACGTTAACATTATTTATTTACGTTATTTACTGTCTATTACAATTTTCGCGTTAAAGAATAAAAGCGCATTCTTTACCCACCGCAGACACCTGCGTTCCGGAGTTTTGCAAGTAAATCTTTTAATTGATCAACCTCACAAAACATCCACTTTCGACAGCTGAGCAGGTATTCAGGAACGTCAAGTACTCGCTGCATTACTCTGTCTTGTTAGTCATTTTATGAAATAAGGAATTTACTGCAGAACTGCCAAGGCAACGATTAAGTGCCATCGAATTCTGGCCGAGTGAGGTTGTGCTGGTCTAGGGCGTAGGCCATGTGTTGAAGCCTGTGCAGAAAAATATGTCTGAGGTTGAATAGAGAGATTTTTTCGGAATAGGCAGACTCTAGCGTTAATCTAGATAGGAGAATAAAAGAAAAACAAAAAGAGTTATTTTTCAGAAAGTACATTTAAATATTTTGCACAGATTTCTAAATATAATGAATCCACATTGGAATAACTGCTTTTGTTTCCACGCCTGCTGATATTCAAAATATTTTGTCGGCTGTGTAAACGGTTATCAGAAAACCCTCTATAAAAGTGAGCTTAATCGATATACAGTATACTATCCCATTTCACGTTCTTGTTCAGCAAAATTCTCTACTGCCTCGATCTGTGCCCGTTTCAGAATGAGGGTTTTGCTTCTCGCCTGCTTTGCAGCCTTTGCTAGCAGCGAAAAAAGCTTCGAAGAAAAACTGAAGGAAGGAAATCAGTTACTCAGAAATGTAAGTGGATCACTCTGCTGAATTGAGGAGTAAGGTTGTGGTAATAAGCTATGAACATTTCTTTTAATCATACAGTTTCCATAGGAACCCAATGCGGGTGATACGATGGAATTTCTTGCGAAATTGCACACCATGGAAAAAGAAATCAAAGACGAATACACTGTGTCTACAAAGCCAGATGGCGACGTATTGAAAGCGATGAAGGTAAGCACGTGATTTCACGGAAGGACCTTAGCGAAGTAGTAAGTCCGAATCTTTAGAATTATGCCGACATCAAGCAGGCTCACATAAGACCGGTGGGCGATACTATCGAAGAGGTCAATAAAAAAAGCAAAGTCGACACTGCGCTGTTCCAAGGAGACATCATTCTAACAAAGTTCGTTCGTCTTTGGAGCTCCGCTCGCTGATCATTTTGCTCCTTTATGTTCTGCTTTGGTTTTCAGGCAGCAAGCCGAGGAGATCATGGAAGACATCAATGACAAAGAAGGGGATCGAAGAAAACGGCAAGCTTACGTCGACGAGAAATATCCGAATACTACTTGGCCTAATGGAGTGACTTTCACGTTTTGGAATGCATGTACGTCTCTACCTTTTTTATTTTTGCAGTGTGGTAACATGAAAGCTAGAACATAACTCCTATAACGCAGTTCAGCTGCGGCAGCGAGAAGAGTGTTCAAAAAAGCTGTAATATTGTGGGGTTGGGAGACGTGCATTAACTTCGGCGAGAGCTTCTCAGGTGAGATCGACTTTAAATCAGAAAACAGTGTATTGGTTAAAGCTTAATAATTGCCCAACAAACAGATTTCCAGCTAAAGCGGAGTCGGATAGAATATTAGTTTTGGACAGTGTAGGATGTTGGTCACACATCGGGAGAATTGGAGGAGAACAGTTTCTTTCACTTGGGCCAGGATGCGAATCGGTATGTCAAACGATTGGTTTTTTAAAAATTCTATTTCGAGTCCTTTTGGTGCTCTTTGTGTCAGCGAGTGATTATGAGACTTTTGAATTGACCCGTAACGAAATGAAGTGCTGACTTCGTGCAGACTGGAATTGCCGTGCACGAGATCGGCCATGCCTTGGGTCTGTACCACACTCAATCGAGATACGATCGTGACGACTTCATCACTCTTTATGCGAACAATATCGAAGTAAGTTAATGATAGGCTATTACTGTGGATTTCTATTGGAAAGTACAATTTCAGCCCGGTTGGGAGAGTCAGTTCGTTAAGCAAACCGAGAAAACCAACTACAATTATAACATCACATACGATTACGGAACCATTATGCATTACGGTGCAACCGGGTTGGCAAAACTTAATTGGTTTTGTGAGAAATAACAACATAGCAATGATGGTTTCAACTGCAGTGCCTCAGCCAACGGAGAACCCTTCATGATACCTCGCGACATTACCTTTTTACCAACCCTCGGGTCACATTTCCTTTCATTCTACGAGAAACTCATGGTCAATTTGCACTATAAATGCCTCGGTGAGATGCTTTATATTTATGCATTTAATTAGCAGCCATTTTCCTCATCATTGGCTGAAAATAAGCATTGAATTCTTAACATCCTAGACAAATGCACTGAAGGCTCATCGGCAAAGTGCGAGAATGGCGGCTTCCCTCATCCAAGAGACTGCTCGAAATGCTCTTGCCCTAGCGGCTATGGCGGAAAACTCTGTAATGAAAGAGTAGGAAGATAAAAACTTCCTTAGGCTTCGTTTTAAAGCAAAGAATAAGTTAACGCTCTTTTTCAGCCATATGGGTGCGGTAAGACACTAACTGCAACAGAATCGTACCAAACCCTCAACGACACCGTCGGCCGATGGGATTACCATCCTGAAGGCGACAACGACGACTTTTACATGTGCAACTATTGGATCCAGGTTTATCAATCCAATATGTGTAAACTGAATTAACAATGATTTTCCGGCAGCTCATTGTTTAAGGGACCACCTGGTTCGACAATTGAAGTGGTACTTGACGATTACACTGAAAATTTGAGTCTTGACGGATGCGTCTTCGCTGGTGTTGAGATTAAAACGTTGGCTGATAAACGTCACACTGGTTACAGGTAAACATGCAACATCACAGATTTGTATCTTTTCAAGGATCAGTTATTAAAATTTGTTCAGATTCTGCTCTCCTAAATACGCTGGTACAACCTTAGTGTCTAAGCACAACATCGTGCCAGTAATCACTTGGAGCAGGGTCTACCAAGCTAATACCGTTTTGCGCTATCGAATTGGTAGTTCATATACGTTGTCTCAGGATTTTAAAATTTTCCTGAAATAATCTAGTTGAATTTAATATTACAGCTTCCTCTGGCTCGGCTACGTCAGAACCAACACCTCAACCAACCCCTCGACCAACACCTCAGCCGTCATCTGGAAGAACACCTCGTCCAACACGTAAGCCCAAAAAGGGTTGCAAGGACCGCTTTCTGTACGTTCCACTATTAAGCATCCACTAGTACTTCGCAATAATAGAAATTTCCTTTAGATGTAACATGCTAAAAGAATTGGGCTTTTGTGATTCCTCTGAATACAAGCTGAAACTCAAGGAAAAAGTCTGCCCCGGCTTCTGTGCGTAACGGTTACTTTCTTCACCAATAAACTTATTTATGCGGATGTGTTTTACACCCACACACGTGTGTAGTTTCGTATATACACACTCTTAGTATTACGAATGCTTGGACGGCATGCTTCACAAGTTATACGGGCTCCAGTATATTTTGCTTTCATGCACCTATTGATTTGTGTTTTTCAGTGCTGAATTGTAGAGGAAATAGAATATGTGAGTAGTCAATATTTTGCAGACTAATAAGCTGGCACAAGGTTGTTATCAACGTTGTACTTTGCTAAAGTTTCGACGTCTTCGTCTTCTTCGGAGCCGATTGATAAGGGTCAATGGGGTCCACCGTCGTTCGTTCTCGCAATGGGTCGTCGTTGTCTCATCGAGATGAATCCAGTAGAGTTGGGTATCTCTCGAATGAAAGAAAAAGACAAAATACTTAGGTGGTTTTTTTGCAACTCTTCGCCAGCAACGTAGCGGTACTAGCGCTACGTGCATCCTCAAACGTTAGGTCTTTATTAGGACCTTTGCTTCAAAGATATTCAGGTTCAGATTTTCCACATACGCTGGGGCAATCAGCTCTTCCCATAAAACAACCTCCAATTTGTTGCTTTCAGCGGTGTCTATCAGGCCACCAATACTTTATGACTGGGGCCGCCAATTCTTGTAGTAGAAATTAATGAAGTGTTAAATAAATTATCTAAAGAGGTATAGAAAACTACAGCTTCCGCTTGTCTATATCTTTTTCTTTCGTATGTTAAGCAACCACTAAATGTCTTGCACGGTCAGAAATGTCGTTCAGGTTCCTAATGATGGCGATATTATGATTTGGTAGTTATTCTAATAAGAATGTAATGTCCAGCTAAATGGTCTATCTGAGCCTTTTGCATATTCGTCAATTTCTTCACGAATAAGTCCACATATATAGAGGTAGGGAAGTGGTTAGTGATGTAGTACATTAGAAAGCAAGGTCTTGGTTCGGACCCCCACCCAAAGTCCTCCTCCAAGATGAATCAAGAATGAACATATATTTGCACACTGACGGTGGTTGTATCCCATGTACAGGTGAATACCACCAAGTATTAATGCTTGCTAGGCTGGTTGTGTGAGATCTATGAACAGGCCTCCTAGCAATCCGTAGGCACCAACAGCGTTAGTAGTCACCGTATCCACCCTGAAGAACTAACTTCCAGTTTTTTTAGTAGAATTTCTTTTCAGCATTCTTTAACCTACACGAAATAAACGGCTAATGAATACTCTAAAGAAAGAACTGTTTATTGTCACTCATTTTCAATAATACCATGTTCCCTACGGTTCGCTTCTATCCTGGGAGCAGATTTTCCTAATACCTAAGGGTGAGCTAACTAGCCAGTAACTAACACCTTCAACTTAGGAACCTAATTGAAACACTTAGTTCTTATAAATTCTTTCACGCAAAACGCAAGAAAACCCAGTTTGAGTGGCTATTGCCACATCTCGAAACCGACCTTCCCTAAACCTCGGTGTGACTAATCAATAATATATATTTATCAACCTCGTGCAAGCTTATCAAGAAAGAATACATATATGGCCACATCGTCTACGCCAATAACACACATACAATAATGCAATAATACGGATAACAGGTAACTCCCACGACCGACTTTCTATTAACCTCGACATTGATTAAGTAATTCTTCGTATTCCTGTTGAGCAAACGTGAGGTGTTACTTTTATTCTTTATTCACGAATAAGCTGACGTTTCGGCAGATTTCGCCTTCCTCAGAGCCTGGAAAAGTCAAGTTGACAGCAATCTATTCCGCCAAATAACTCCATAACCAAACAAAGAAAACACTAAACCAAGATTTCAATTACATTGAACACGGAGTAGCTTCTTTGCACACTCACCGCTTTCTATGAGGCCTACAATGAGTATGTCGCGTGAAGACCAACCGCACAGAATTCACACAGAAGCGTAATATGCCCCTCCCATCAGAATAGTAGGTTTATATACTGCCCAATATCACGCTTGACAATGAAGCATTCCTCCCTGCGGTTCATTTTCGGATTTCTGGAATTAATCCAGAACGCCTCAAGAGTTTTGCGCGCTGGTGTTCTCGATTCTTGTGCGAGGATCGTGACACGTACTTCAAAGTCCTCCCCGTTATGTCCCTGGGTACCATACGTGCCTAGTGGGGTATTTGGTAGACGTCTCCCGGCTAGGTGTTCTTTTATGCGGACACAGAGGGCTCTGCCCGTTTCGCCAATGTATTCGTCACCACACGTCTTACAGGAGATCAGATAAACTATACCCGAGCTCATGCAATCACCGTCTCTACCACTGAGGCAAATTATGCAATTTTGAGTGGCACATAGACGGTCATATAGGCGGTTACGAACTAGCTGGCGCTTAAGATTACTCGATGGTATTTCAACTACGCTCACCGAATTCTCTAAGCCCTCCCTTCTTAAGCAGCGTTTTATAGCTGTACTTATATCATTTGAGATGAAGGGTAGGATAAACGGAACCCTTCTATCGCTAGAGTTGTCGTTTGGAGGCCTACGACTTCCTCTACACCTATCCTGAGCTACAGTTTCGTAGCCATCAGAAATGGCTATTTGCCGTGCCAAGTTCCGAGACTCCTCTCTCTGCTCTCTTCCCGTGCACACGTTGGTTGCTGTTCGAAACATGTTTCTTACAAGCGCCCTTTTCGTGTGAGAAGGGTGAGAGGAGAGGTAATGAACCAAGGTGTTTTTACTACTTGGCTTTCGCTCCCACTTTGTAATGTAGCCATTTTGCGACGGGTGAATTTGGACGTTCAAGAATGGGAAGCAGTTTTCTTTCGGTTTTCCTCGGGTGAACTTGATATACTCTGACTATGCATTTAACAACTCGAAACATTTGTCTATTAGCTCTTGTGTTGAGCAAGGCACAAAACAGCTATCTATATATCTACATTAGGGTAGCAGCCCCAGATCGGTCACCGGTGCTTTCACCTTAGAAATAAACTTAATGGCAAGACTTGGTGCCAGTTGTTGTCCTATTGCCAACCCTCTTTTTTGAGCGTAGTACTTTCCAGACCATCTGAAAATTGAGCAGCTCAAGTATTCTTTTAAGAGTGCCATCAAGTGCTCTATCTTGAAGCCATATATGTTTATTTCTCTTTCGTGTTGTGTAAGGAATTCGAATATGGCTTGCATAGCGGAGTCATTCGACACGTTTGTATAAAGGTTTTAAACCAGCAGTCCTTGCCATTTTGGCCCATTCGTGGTTCGATTTTCGGTAACGTCGAAGGACTCCATCACCTACGCGCTGCTGGGCTGGGCAGTACGTAGACGATCCAGAAACATCTGGGTATTCGTAAGATAGGCTGGAATGTGTTTTAACAACTGTTTAAATATTAGGGTTAAAAACCATGTTATCCTGTCCGTTGGCCCGTCTACGCAACTAATGATAGGTCTAGCCTTAAATAGTGATGGATCGGTAGGCGCAAGATCATCGCTGGATACTAACTTATGAGTTTTTATAAGTACAAGACGGGGCATGTTGGTAAGTCAACTTTAAGTTGAGAGGTAACTGATGGTTTTAAACCAGCAGCCCTTGCCATTTTGGCCCATTCGTGGTTTAGTTTTCGGTATTTACTTTTGAATTCCTCCTCAGATGATGGGCGATAAAGCGAAGCATCTTCAAGATGCTTTTTCGTTATCTCCACATCTAACTGATGAGGAATTACGACAAACTCTCCACCCTTATCACAAACGGAAAGTCTTATGGTTTTCAACCTTATCAGCTCTCGTACCTCTCGCATACCACGTTTTTGCACTGGAGTGAGGTTTGAGCTGTATCTTTTCTCGCGATAAAGGACTTTGAGAGATTCATTCGCAAACATCCGAAATTTAAAATCAACTTTAATATTAAACTCTTGTTGTCTAAAGAACGGCTAAGGAAATGGTGCTATTGGTAGAGGCCCCACTTGGTGCTGTTCGCAACTATTTAGCGTTTCATCTCTAGCTTTTTCGCGGAGTCTATCCTGAAGTTCATGTAAACTACATGTGACCCTACGCAAGGTTATCTTAGAAATGGGTTCAGATGGTGAGAAACTCGGTCCCAATTCTAATAACGAGCGCGCACCGTCAGGGAGAGTCATTCCTCCTAACACGGTTAACCTTGAGTTTTATTGTACATTACTTATCCTACTGTGATCTGTTTGATGTTCTTTAGCGATATTTTTGTGCGCTATTGAAGCTGTGTTATGTGATTTACTCAAAAGGTCTTCGAATTTCCTCCGCAAAGTTACTTTAGCATTACACCTAATAGAGTTGCAAATCAACACTGACCTGCCCACTATTCCCCTCCAAAAGCGGTCCTACAAATACTAAGCACAGAAGTTTTCCTTCGTCTCCCACTTCTTCTTGGTGAACATCTGGCTTTGTCGGCTTCGTAGACAGGTGCGTAGTATTCGCAATTCAATTTCCAGTACTCGGTGACTCTCCTCTAGTAGTGCGCATACGTCGCGTAGTTGTCTTCGTTTGTTGATGTTCGGAACGACTCGGTTTCTTAGAAGGCGGAGAAATTTTATTAACTGTCAAGCTAAGGCAATCTTTTGTCTAAGTGACAGCGCTTCTTTTTCAAGTCGGAAGTATCTTGCTGGTACATCTTGCTGTAACTCCCACGACCGGCTTTCTATTAACCTCGGCACTGACCAAGTAATTCTTCGTATTCTTGTTGAGCAAACGTGAGGTATTACTTTTATTCATTATTCAGATATACAGATAAGAGGAAGTGCACAGCATCCAGTGCACTTCTGTGCAATCTTTTTTCATCGTTTTGTTCAGTGACACAGAACATTTTCGGCGCAGTTCTTGTTTCCAATCAACAGCTTATCGGTCTTTGTTAGACACAACCCTTGAAAAGCTACGATTTCCTTTTTTTGAGTCAACAATTTACGAAACACCTTTTTCGGGCGAATTCGCTTTGCTGTGAGAGGATAGCACTGCTGAAGATATTATGCACCGCGGAAACAACTGTCTGTGAAAGAT